TATTAGTTTAGTGGGGCTAATTGCCCCACTTCTGAAGTTGCTGTGTTTTTCACTTATTCCGTTCACAGCATTCTCCCTTCCTCCTGCTCTCTTCCTCTTTCCCAATGTTGCCATATTTTTCCTCCTCTCGCCTTCTCTGACCTCTGCTTCCTCAGTCAGAATGTCTCTTAGAGTCATCAGTTGTATCCTTCAACCTAAAAAATGATTTCTCAAGTAAATAATTAAATTATCCAAGAGTAGCGCGTCTCCTAGAAGAATGCGACATTTTCTAATAAGTGCAACTTTTAGCATGCAGTCTTCTCCTGTTGGCACACCCCACCCGCCATTCTCTCATCCTAGAGCAGACCCTCCCACTGATACAGTTAAGGTTAATAAAGGTGCATTCTGTATTTCTAGTTCCCCTCCTAGGCTCACACAGGTTAATATTTTTTTATTATTTTTTTTTTATTGGAAAGGCAGATATACAGAGAGGAGAGACAGAGAGGAAGATCTTCAGTCCAATGATTCACTCCCCAAGTGAGCGCATCGGCCAATCCGAAGCCAGGAGCCTCTTCCGGGTCTCCCACGCGAGTGCAGGGTCCCAAAGCCTTGGGCCATCCTAGACTGCTTTCTCGGGCCACAGGCAGGGAGCTGGATGGGAAGTGGGGCTGCCGGGATTAGAACCGGCGCCCATATGGGATCCCGGGCGTGCAAGGCAAGGACCTTAACTACTGCGCCACCGCGCCGGGCCCACAGGTTAATATTTTAAAGGTCTTCATTTTGACTGTGTAATAGCATTAATATCCAAGTCAAACCTTGCACACTTGGTCAAATGCAGTATAATATCTCAGGTCCTCTTATGCACAGATATTCTCACCCAACCAACAATACAAGAAGCACTGGAGCAAGTGTTTTTAAATTGGTCAATAAGAGGCCAGGTGATAAGGGTCTTGGTGTTACTGGTTCATACCCATCCCGGCCCTGCTTCCCAAGCACAGTGATCCCCAGGCTTCTTGTCTTCCACCTTGTCCTACAGACATCTCCTGATCAACTTCATCCATCTCATCAAACTCCCCTGAGGCACTATTCACATCCAGAGAATGTCCAATCATTTTGGCATTTGATGATCTTCAAATCCCTTTCATGCCCTTTCATAGGAATTAGCTGGTTTTTTTTTTTTTAATGCTCACTAATTAATCAGTAAGAATCAATAGAAGAGTTGTGTAAGGAAGTTCTGTCTTTCTGCTATTTGCAAAAAAAAAAAAATTAGGTGCAAGTCATCTGGTGCTCAGGCAGCCAAGCTATTCAGTTCCTAACTCTCTTCTTCTCATTCCATTTTCTCCTCTCCAGTATGGAATCTCTGAAAATGACCATGAATAACTGGGGAAACAAGATACCCACACCAACCAACATTTTAAGAAAGCATCCTTCTCAATATAGACTTTTAGTCATAAATAGTAGTATTTCTCATGGAGTGCTTATGTTGCTAGGCAGCATATAAGCACATTGTGTGCATGATCTTATCTACAGCCTGCAAGTAAAGCCTAGAAGGGTTGTGTTTTTCCCATGTCCCAGATGAGGAAAGCTTGCACAAGAGTTCCATACTAGGCATTCCACACCAAGATTCTGTCAGAGGCCTACCACCAGAGCCCGCAATCCCCACCCATGGTGGCTCTGCTATCTTGAGTTCCTCTGGTTTACTTCCCCCTCTCCCAGTCTGTGTGTCCCTGAAGACAACGATTAATGATTCTGAGCTGACCTCCTAGGAATCCTGCCCATTCCTCTCTTGATCCCCATGCTTATGGGCTGCTGGAGGGTGGGGGGAAATGGATGATTCCTGCAGCGTGGTTATGCTCCTGGTTTGTGCGTGCAACTCTCCTGAGATTTTTATTTTTCCCCAGTAATGGAAGGATGGCTGGGAATAATCTGATGCACATGCCAAGAAAGAAGTTATTAATAAGATTACATTAAACTTCAGCACAAGTTGAACAGCATGTAAGTACAGCACTAAGCACTGTCAGAGCTGAATGGACGTAAGTCATGACCTTGTGGAATTTACAGTCCGATAGGGAGAGGGTATGAGGAATTAAGGCCACATGCAAATGTAGAAATGTTCATGCCAAATATGGCAAGTGCCACGGGAAGGGGAGAAGTGAATCTCTGTAGGTCTGGAAAACAGGAGCCCTCCCATTTCCCTGGGGAAGCAGGCTGAGACCGTCGGGCATAAGAGAAATGGCTGGGAATGAGAGTCCCGGATGCACTGATAAGGCTATGGAATTTATAGCATCTAGTTCAAACATGAAAACATGGGCTCTCTTGCTCAAAGAGGAATTTTAAGATAGTGAAATCAGAGCATGAAACTAAGGGAGGGGTCTTTCTCAGCACAGGTTGCCAGTCCTGAGGGGTGACCCTGCCCTCTGAGAACTTCCTTGAGTCAGATCTCTTGCCATGGTAGAGCATAGGGCCTGGTACCAGATGAATCAAGGAATGTACGGAGATAGGTCTGCGTTGGCACCATGACACTTGAGGGTTTTGTGGGTCACTTTTGGAAGCTTCTTGGAGGATGGAGTTGGATTTTCCTTTTTCTTCCCTTCCTGCCTCTCTTTCCGGTGCTTTATCCTGTTCCACAAACCCTAACAGTAATGCTATGCTTTATGCAGACTGGGGCCAGCAGAGGCCTTGCATAGAACTCCTCGGATCAGTCTCCCACTCCCAGAGCTGGCCTTGGCTACAGATTGTTTCCCCTTGGGTACAGCCTGGCTTCTCATTTTAAAACCATTTGGCTTTATTTTCACTGAGCAATTGGATGAATGGTTATGAAGAAAAATGACCAGGAAAAATATAGATAAGCAAACATGGTTACTCATAACCTCATAAGAACCTAGTCTAATGGGATGTACAGAACTGGTTTTCAACCTACTTTCCCATTAAGTGATGTGCTGGGAGCATCTTTGTGCATCCATGTCAGTGCCACCTGTTCATTTTCATGGCTGTATGGCATTCATCTTATTAACCAATCCCTTCACATTGAACATTGGGTTACTTTCTATTGTTTTGCTAAATAATGTTGAATTTGCTGGGTAAAGAACTTAGCTTTTCTGCCCTTTATCTCCCACATCTGTGGGTAATGTCAGGGTAACATAGGGCTCCCACCCGCAGTTGTGCAGTGCGAAGCAGTTTGCAGGTAAAGCTTCCTACACAAGCACAGTACAGCGCATGGCCAACTGGAGGAACTTAGCACATGGGAGCTAGCCCAGGGAGAGCCACTTGAGTAATGGAACCTAGGCAGTGTTCATTGAAAACCAGCAGGATAAGATGGGGGTGGGTGGGTGTCATCCTCTAGGTTAAATATTTCTCTAGCGGATTCTGGTGTCTTGAGTAAGTTCATACATAGCTACCAGTCTTTTCATATTTTTTCCAAATTACTTGTTTTTATTTGTGAGGTGGGGGGAGGGCGAGAGAGGCCTTCCACCCACTGATTCATTGTCTGCAGTCCTGGCCAACAGCTGGAACTCCGTCCAGGTTTGCAAGTAGGTGGCAAGGACCCAAGTGACCCAGCCGTCATGTGCTGCCTCCTACAGGGTACAATCACAGAAAGGTAGACCTAGAGGCAGAGCTGACACTTGAACTTAGCTGGTGTAGGATATGGGCATCTAAGCGGCATGTTAACCCCTGTGCCCTGTGTTTGCCCTTCTTTTTCTTTTTAGTACAGTAGAGGATAGTGCGTCCTCAGCAAAGGCTCCTCCCTGCTTGCTGACACCCAAGAACTTGGTGCAATTAGCTGTTGCACGCAGCCTGCTAACTGGCAGCCTTCCTCATCTGGCTGAAGATTCCAGCCAAGGGCAGTTGACAAAAATGAGCCGTGCTCAGCCTCAGGGGCGGCTGTGCTGCCTCGGAAATGTTTCACGAATGTGGGAAACTGAGCACAGAGGCAGCAAGTGTCAGACTGGCTCCTGGCTGCTGGTGATCTTGGGCAGTCTCCCCTCTCCAACACCCCTTTTCTTTTCCTGCAGCACCAAGGGGAACAGGAGGAGGACAGGAGTGTGGTGTCCGGCTGTGGTTCCCACAAACACAAACCAACACAGAATCATGCTATCCCTTTACACACTCTTGCTTTTCGCAAGGCAGATGGTCTTGTGAATCCACTCGTTTGTGTCTATCCCTCACCAAAATGGGAGCAGCCTGCCTTGTCGGTTTATTTATTTTTCTTCTGCAGGAACCCCAGGACCTGGCACAGATCTCACATGCAGACAGTACACACCTGCGTGCTGCATGAACGAGGTCTTAGAGCCTAGGTCCAATCCAGGTTGCACCATTTGCTGTGTGATCTGGGGCCCAACCCCCAATAGGACACCAAGGTTTTCCTGATTGAAAAATAGGGATCCCCTACAGCCTGTGTTGGAAGGTGATCAGGATCAAATATGGACCGACACGGGAAGCAGCAAGCACCTTGGCCGGGATGAAACATAACAATAGCAGCAGCAAACCCTGGCGCAGCATGACCACCAGAGCGGATGAGAAACGTTAGCTGTGTTCCTTCTCACTACACCCAATAGCCGAAGTCGGTGCCTTCACATCATTTTACAGAGGAGCCAAATGGAGCACACGGCATAACTAATACACAGTCCACAGACGCTAGCTTTCATTTATGCCTAATATTCCTTCCAGGCAGCTGGTGGGCGACCCCTTTGAAGCCCCCCGAAGGCCTCGGGCCCAACCTGCGGGATGGCCAGGACAGAAAGAGTTACCGCACCCGAGAGCGCGCGCGTCAGCAGCCGGGAGCCGCGGGCCCGCGCGCCCGCCTCACAACGCCGCTGGCGGGGTGGCCGGCGCGTCCTCGCCTCCCATTGGCGCACACACCCCTTCCTGTCACGGCCGGCCCGTTCACGCCCCCTGGGCGCTGCCGGAGTGGACGGTTCCAGAGGCATGCTAATGAGGGGGCGGGCCCCGCAGCCCATTGGCCGGCCGCGGGGTGTCGGTGAAGTCAGCGCCGAGTCCCAGAAAAACAGAGCGGGGCCAGCTGCAGCGTGGAGTGCGAGCCGGGCAGGACGCGAGCGAGCCTCCCGCCTGGCCGCCCGGAGACCCGCAAGGTAAGCCGCGTCGCGCGCCCCGTCCGGCGGCGCTGGCCCTCGGCGGCGCGGCCGTCGGAGAGGGGCGCGCCGGCCCGGCCCCCGCGGGCGGCGCCTTTGTTCCGCGCTTGAAGGAGGCGCATTTAAAGGGCCAGCTGTTAGAGGACTTGGGGGGACCTCCTCTCCAGAGAGCATCCCTCCAAGGTGGTGGTGGGGGCGGCCGTGGGCCTCCGCGGCCCCCCAGTGGATACCGCCTGCTCGCCAGGTCCCGGCGCCCCCCGCCGGCCCTTTTACCAATAGTGTTGCCGGGGTGCGGGGCATCTGGGCGTTCCAGGTTTTGGGGTGAGGGAGGGGGTTGGGGAGCGGAGCTGGTTGCGCTCACGGCCTCTGCTGAGAGGGAAGGTCCTCCCGCTCCGAGCCGGCTGCATGCAGCGTGGGCGGGCGCCGGGGGCTCTCGGAGAGCGGGTGGGTTTGTGGGGTAAAATCAAAGTGTCGGGGACCGGGTCCCCCTGCGCGGCCGCCCGAGGACGAGGAGGGGGTGAGCGGCGGGATGGAGGCATCTCAGGTGCGTTCATTCATCCGCGCCGCTGCGGGCGGGGGGCCCCGGGGCCTGCCCTCCCACCCCGGCCGCGTGGTCCCTCGGCGGCTGACAGCCTTCCTTGAGGGGCTTCTCCGCGTGGGGGTGGGCTAGAGGCGAACTGGGCTCTCCACCTCGCTTGCTGCCAGATGGGCCGTGGCCGTTAGCGATGGAGGGCGCAGGAGGCTCCAGGTCCTTGTGCTGCCTCGCTTGGGGGAGATGTGCGGTGGAAGCGTGCCTGCCCGCGCGCCCGCGCCTTGGGTCGGCTGTACGGTCCTCCGGCGCACGCCTGCCTCGGACCGGCTGGATGCATTGCGCTGTTGCATTGCCACGGTGAAAGCAGCAAGGGTCCCGGGCTCCCGAGGTTTCCAGCACGTTCTCATTTGGGGAAGCTGTTATCAGCGGCCCACCTGCTGAAATAGCTGGGATTGACGTCTACCGGCCACGGCAGGGGGCCTCACGTGGAGACTTCCAGGACCCTCCGTGGGGCACCGGCCTCTGCCTCCCCGCCCCAGCCCCCGGGAACCCCCTCTTCTCTCTGTCTGCACTCTCCTTGTAGTAGTTGGGGCTCCTCCACGTGGGATCAGGTCGGCGTTTTTGGTGGGGAAGGAGGCTTGGTGGAGGTTGAAGAGGGACGGGAGACTTAAAGCCGGGTGAACTGTGAAGAAGCTGCAGCGACTGGAAACATAAGACGAACACTTGGAGACTCCATATCTACAGCCCGAAGCGAAGTGAATGAAGTGCCTGATGGAGGGGGCATGTGTGGGGGCTGGGAGGCGGTTGGCATGGAGGAGCGATTTTCTGCCCCACCCTCTCGATGCTGCCTTAAATAGCTACTTCGCAGCCAGGCTCTGATGTCTCCTTGTGGCCCGAGAAAGGTTGGCCTGTTGGCACCTCTGCCCTTGGCATTGTTGGTAGATGGACGGGAAAGGGTTAGTTTTCCAGGGTTTGCTGAGAGCACAGTTCTCAGCGGAACAGTCCCTGGACCCCAGGTTCCAGCGCTTCTCTGCAGGGAATTAGCCACTGAAATGCTGTGTTGTGTGGGCTGCTGGGGTGAAGCAGTGAGGGGAGGGTCTGCTCCAACACCCATTGCTGCCGGTGCTCTCCTCCCAGGACCTGCTGTTTGTTGGGAGTTGGAGAATCTGCAAACTTTTCTGAAGATAATGGTTATATTGTAGGTGGAGGGGAGAAGGAGCAATAGCCTGGAGGGGCAAGTGCTCCCACAGAGCTGTCCACTGTCCCTGTGCCGCCCCTCTGCTCTGCTCTCCAACGCAGAGGTCAGTCCAGAGAGCCGAGCTTGGGTTTTTTTTTTTTGGCGGAGAATGAAAGGGCAGAGCCTAGGAAAGGAAGCTCTGGCTGTGCAGCGCTGGCCATCCTCCGCTGTCCAGACACACCTCTGGACCCTTCCCTGAGAGTGGAAATAGGTTTGCCGTAGAGGGCACACACTGGTGGATCTAACCTGTTTCTAGAAAGAGAAACAGATGGTCTCTCAAGCTTTGGTGGAGGCACTTGGGGCGAGAGGCTGGGCAGCTGGCCTTGCCCCTGGCCACCAACCTTCTCTGGGCCTTCCCATCGCTGTGCGGATCTGCGTCCTTGTTGCGGAAGTAGAGGACTTCCGAGTTGCTTGCTTCCAGGGTTCCTGGCAGCACAACTGCTCTTAGATTCACAAGTGCAGTTTGTGAGGGCAGTTTTAGGCCCTTTCAATTCCACCCTAATGAACAAATGCATGAAGGCACACCCTAAGGACTAGAGCGTGTTAGATTTGGATTGACCCCTTGCCTTGATTTGGGAGCATTTACTGAATGTAAATAACTTAGAACTCAGTGGTCCCTGGGGAAAGGCAGAGCCCCGAGTGGCTGATTTTCTGGGTGAGAGAGGGAGTTTTCTGTAATTGATCTTCTCTCCCCGGGCACGTTTAATCCATTGTTTTATTCATGGTGATGCAGGGGAATGTTTAGAACATTATGCCTGGATGGGACCTCTGTGTTGGCCAGGGAAGCCCCCTTACTGAGGAAGCACTGAGGGCCTGGGAAGTGTGTCCGCTTGCCCAAGGTCACCCAGCTAGCAAGACGCAGAGTTGGGCTGGGAGCCCAGTGAACAGGTTCTAGGTTCCGCATTCTAGATTGGGCTGTGAGAAGCATTATTCAGAGATGGGAGCAGGGAAAAAGGAGGCAAGAGGTGCAGAAGGGCGAAGGTTTGAGACAGGTGCTGTGGGGAAGCCCGGCTTGGAGCAGAATCAGCTGTGAGATCTCAGGCCATTCTGTCGCCCTGTGAATGGATGAGAGGCTTGGCTGAGATGAGGGTGCTGGGAGCCATGTCCCGGAATTGAGCTCAACCTGGAGTCCCATGGAGTCTCTCCTGTCCACCCTCTGATTTGTGGTTGCTTCATTTCAGGGCCAGCTGAGGTCGGTGGCTGAGGACAGTCCAGGTGTGTCCATGGGGTGCTGGTGAATGCTAAGGTGGGACCCGGCCTGCTGTCGTCCCTTTTTGTTTTTTAATGCAAAACTACAACACTGTTTTCCCTGGAGTTTCTTCCCAATGCAAGCAGTGTTCCCCCCTCTGATGTCCATTGGTGCTTTTTAGATTTTTACAGGTTGGCGTTTCCTTGCAGAGGTGTTTGGAGCTAACTGGCTGGCTGAATTGTAGCTCTGTTGAGGAAAGCTTCTGGCCTGTGACCTGAGCTAAGCTTCAGAATGGTTCAGCGAGCAATTAAATAGCTGTAAGCAGTGGTTAAGCAGAGCAGGAGCCATTCAAAGGCTGGCATCAAAGGTCATAAGGCTTTGAAGTCTGTAACCCAAGCCATCAGCTGGCAATGAACTGAATAATTTCCTTTGGCCAGTCTGAAGACCCTACGAAGTGTCTGTATGGCTCCTTAGTTCTTGTGTTTTGTGCTGGACAGGTGCTTGGTCTGTCTCTGTCTCTTGCTGCCTGCCTATCTTGCTTCTTTTCCATTGTCTCCTTCCTCCATTTTTCTCTCTTCTCATTGCATCTTCTCCTAGCACCCCTCCCCCATCCTTTCTTTACTACTGATGATGCAGCGTTGTAGTGTGTTTTAATGCATTTATTGCACCATTAAAGTTTCATATTCTCTGTTCTTGATTTAAAATCTCCTTTCAGTCTTTCGGCCTTTCTGAATGCATATATGTTTTACATATACAACAAGCAAGGGAAACAAACCAAATCCAATTAAATTGCTTTTTCACTTTCATGTGGTCTTTTCATTGATTTCCCCCCACCATCTCTTTTGTGGTCAGTAGTGACTCTTTATTGGAAAAAAAAAAATTCCCAGGTTCTGTCATGTGGTTATTGTTTTTACAACAAAAACAGCTACAGCAATAGAAAAAGTTTCCACTCTTGTATTGTTAGACACAAGGGACAGCTTTTCCCAGGAGAGGTGCCCTATTTCACGACTTCCTCCCGTGGAAGGAGTGTCTTCACTGTGTTCCCTGACAGGAGCTGTGTTGTGAGGGGTGAAGATGCTCTTGGTGGAGGTGCGGCTCTTGAGCAAGTTGTGGCCAACACAGTGTGTCTGGGAAGGCTTTAGACTGGTGGCCTTTCTTTTTTTGTTTTCTCATGCTGAGCTAACCCAGTGAGCTGTTACAGAATGGGGACTTCTTTGGGGAAGAATGAGGTGCTTGTTGGCTTTCTAGTTAGCATTGGGTGGGATTATGGCATGTCTTAACTTCCCCCTTGGAGGGTGGTGGTTACCGACCAGTTGCTGGTGTGAAGTGCAGATGCTGTGGTGGGCCGAGAAGATTGTAGACACCTGGGGGGGTCTGCAAGTAGGTTAGTGTCTGTAGTGTGTCTCCCAGCAAGAAATCACCTTGAAGATTCTAGGTTTTCTATTTGAAATTTCTAAGTTTTACATCCTCCCTAATGATGCCAGTGCTGGTTTTAGTACAGTGTATTTACACTAAATAGCAAGCTGTTGAACACAACGGATGGTTCAGGAAAATGTGTTTATCTTGGGCCTTTGTTTCTCCTGGTCTTCTACCAATAAAAGCGCACAGCAGTTTCTCCACCAGTCGGAGAAGCCAGGAGGAGGGCAGGCCTGCCCAGTGGAGAGCTCCCCTCCAATCCTGCCTTCCTGCTGGACCCACTTGCCGTGGCACCAGGGTGCCGTTCTCCCTATTCGCTCTGCTCTGCTTGCACCTGTTCCTGGCTGGCTCCCGTGTCTCCTTCCAGTCTGGTTTCACGTCAGAATGAGATGGCCACCACCACAACACTCATCTTTGTACTTTTGTGATTGCTGGTCGCCCTTGTTTGGTTCTTCCCCATTCGCTGGACAGAGAACAAATCGGTGCTTCATCTTTTTCAGTGGAATTCTAATTTATCGGAGTTCTTTAATGCTACAAGAAACATTGGAAAGCCTGTGTCTCCCTCCTCATTGTGGTCTCTGTCCCCAGAGTGACAGGGGTGGTGGCAGTAGCGATGGAGTGGTGTG